ATTTTGTATGGCATACAATATATAGGTATGATACCTCTGTTTACAATGTCCAGGTTAGCACTGCAAATAATTCTGTGATAAAGGCCAGGATGCCTGATAAGAAATTCATGAAAAACGAGAGAGAGAGAGAGAGAGAGAGAGAGAGAGGGAGAGAAGGAAAGAGAAATGGTCACTCAACTTTTAGAAATGAATCTTCTTGAAATAATATCTTCAATGAAATGGCTGGTTTCCTTTTCTTTTTGAATCTGGGGAAAATATTCCAGTTTCAAGGAGGCTTGGTTATTTTTCTTGCCCATTAAAACAATTCCCTTTATCAGTGAGAATCCTCAAGTACTCTGTTTTACTCCATGCATAATATATTTTTCATTTTTCTTTCTAAAAGGATCTGTAATAGGTTAAAATTTCTAAACTAAAACCTTGAGTTCTCAGTACATGACTTTGTATACTGGTATATTCCAGTAAATGGGTGTCTCATCTGATTGAGATTTGTGGATTGACTCATACTTTGTGAAGTGTTAGCTTCACAGGTTTATTAACTGGCAAACAAGCATGTGGATGTAAAAATAACAAGTATTTTAGAGTGATAAATGCTTTGTACAGCTATAAAAACTGGTGGGATTGGTGTAGGACAAAAAAAAGTGCCTAGTAAGAGAAATAGAACTAGAATGATGACAGAAGAGAGGGAAAACAAAACAAAACAAACAAAAACCTCAGCCAGAACCAGACAGTTCTTTCTCTGATCATTTAGATGAAAGGTCTTGCCAGTACTTTTGTGGGTCTGGTAGTTCATTCTAGAACCATCTGTGGTTCTATGTGTATAATAATTATAAATGTTTACTCTGAAAATTTGTTTAAAAATATGTTTTTATTTACTTTTTAGAGCGAGAGGGAGAGATAGGAACATTGATCAGCTGCCCCCCACTGGGGATCAAGCCTGCAACCTGAGCATGTGCCCTGATGGGGAATTGTACTAGGACTTCTCAGTCCATGGGATGGTGCTTAATCCACTGAGCCACACTGGCCGGGCTCTTAAAATTTTTTTACTCTTAAATTCACTTGCAGTAAGTATCGAAATTGTTCATTCCACAGCATGGGATCAGTAACTCTTAAGTAATCTCTTATTGTATTAAATTAAAATTTTTTTTTCTTTATTCATTTTAGAGAGGAAGGGAGAGGGAGAGAAAGAAACATCAGTGAGAGAGAACATCAATTGGCCACCTCCTGCATGCCCCCCACTGGGGATTTGGCCCACAACCTGGGCATGTGGCATGGGTTGACACTCAACCACTGAGCCACACCGGCCAGATATAAATTTTAAATTAAAAGAACCACTTCAGGTGTGTTTAGGAGAGGAACCTGGGAGCCAGCAACTTGTTCATGTTTTTTTTTTGTTTGTTTTCTCCCCAATTTTTATTTATTGATTTTAGAGGGAGATGGGGGCAGATTTGTTCATTGGTTGATTCTTGTGTGTCCTGACTAGGAATCTAACCTGCAACCTTGGTGTACTGGGATGATGCTCTAATCAACTGAACTACCTGGCCAGGGCTTATGTCTTTTTTAAAGGGTGATGCTGGGCCCAGCTGGTGTGGCTCAGTGGTTAAGTGTTGACCCATGCACCAAGAGGTCGCCAGTTCAATTCCCAGTCAGGGCACATGCCCAGGTTGTGGGCCAAATTCCCAGTGGGGGGCATGCAGGAGGCAGCCAATCGATGTTGTTTCTCATTGATGTTTCTCTCTCTCTCCCTTCCTCTCTAAAATCAATAAATATAAATAAAATAAAAGAGTGATGATGGTGGTTGTATAACAAATTACCCCTAACTTAAGAACTTAAAACAATAAGCATTTAGTCTCTCCCAGTGTCTGAGGGTCAGGAATCTGGGAATGATTTCATTGGGCTCAGGGTCTCATGAGGTTGTAGTCAAGCTGTTGAGTGCGGGGACTGCAGTCTTCTCAAAGGTTGCCTGGGACTGGAGAATTCACTTTCAAGCTTCCTAATATAGTCTTTGGCGTGACTGTTACTTGCTGGCTGTTGGCTGGTGACCCATTCTCACGGGCCTCTCTTTGGGCTTCCCGAATGACATGAAAGCTGGCTTCCTACAGTGAGTGATTCAAGAGAGGGCAAGGAAGCAAGAAAGAGCTCCAAAGATGGAAGACACAGTTTCTATGACCTAATCTTGGGAATGAGATACTGTCACTTCTGCTGTATGCTACTGGTCACACAGACCAACCATGATCTACGGTGGAAGATGACTGACTTTACAACAGTGCAAGAATCAGGGAGCAGGGATCGTTGGGGGCCATCTGAAAGGCTCACTACCACAGTGGCTATCAAATATCTCAGGTATTTATATTCCATTGGGTAAATTTAAAATAATGACCTAACAGTTTTAATTTTAAATATTAGTATTTACATCACGCAGGAAACTTCATCCTTTGCAAACTTGTATTTATGATAAAAAATTTAAAAAATGTATGAAGGGGCACATATTTACAAAAAAAATCTTTTGCGGATAAGAGAATAAAAGTTTGAAGACCACTGGCTAAGACTACTAGTTCCTCTATCCAAAGGGCCCCCTACCATGTTTCTCTGGCTCTTTACCTCCTCCATGTGGTGCTCTTTTATCTTAAAGGTATGGGAAACTGATAAATGAAAGACAAACCTCAAATCAGAAATCATAATTTGGGTCATGATTTGTGAATGGGAAAGATAACTTGAAATCTGGACCGTCCCTGAAAATCTAGGACTTGTGGATATGAATAGGAAATGGACCAGTAAGTTACCTTTTAAAAAATGGCATTAACTAAACAGACAGCCAAGTGCCTTCTGAGGAAGACAATATAGGAGAACCGGGGACACCAAAAGAATATAATCTAGGCTCTACCAAAGTTATAAATTGGAGAATATGATGCTTGGGTTGCATTGTACAAAAAAACTGTATACAGCCTAGCCGGTTTGGCTCAGCGGTTAGAACGTCAGCCTGCGGACCAATGAGTCGCGGGTTTGATTCCTGCCAAGGGCACGTACCTTGGTTGTGATTTGTCCCTGACCCTGGTTGGGGGCGTGTGGGAGGCAGCCACTCGATGTGTCCCTTTCACGTCGATGTTTCTCTCTCTCTCTCTCTTCCTCCCACTCTGTCTGAACAAAAATGGAAAAAAGTCCTTGGGTGAGGATAAAAAACAAACAAACTGTATACAACTGTTACATTTTAATGGAATAATTCTTTTAAAATATTATTAATTTTTAGAGAGGGGGAGGGGAGAGTGTGAAACATTGATCAGCTATCTCCTACACGTGAGGATATGTTAATTGATTTTAGAGAGAGAGAAACATCAATGTGAGAAATATCATGGGTTTCAAACCCAGAACCTAGGTACGTGCCCTGACCAGGAATCAACCTTGAAATCTTCTGGTGTATGGGATGCTCTGACCCACTGAGCCACCCGGCCAGGGCTCAGCTTATGTTTTGATTAGGTATGCAATTTATACCTCAGATGAACAGCTCAGGTTCAGTTAGGCCAAAAATGCTCAAAGCCAGTAATTAGGGATGATTGTTTGAAAAGATGCTGAAATTTACTAAGGCATATAAACCTAAAATGAAACCACACTTGAAGTATTTTATTAGGAACTAGCCTTGAAACTTGACCAGGCAGGACTAATATTTTGTTCCTAACAGTTTATCATTTCATAATGGAGAAGAGGCCGTCTCTCTATTTTAAAGAGAGAGGAAGGGAGAGACTGAAACATTAATGTGGGAGGGAGAGAGAGAGAGAGAGAAACATTAATCAGCTGCCTCTTGCACATGCCCCACCAGGGATCCAGCCTGCAATCCCGACATGTGCCCTGACCGGGAATCGAACCAGGACCTCTCAGTCCATGGGATGACACTCCATCCACTGAGCCGCACGAACCAGGCAAGAGGATGTCTCTTAAGTGGAAAATGTGTTATGTCCTACTTGCATAAACTTTGGTTGAACCAAAATAGTAATATGCATCCCTTATTAGAATGTTTTATTCAGCGCTGGCTGGTTTGGCTCAGCGGTTAGAGCATCGGCCTGTGGACCAGAGAGACCCAGGTTCGGTTCCCGCTAAGGGCACGTACCTCAGTTGCAGTTTGTTCCCAGCCCTGGTTGGGTCCTGCACGCGCCAACCACTTGATGTGTCTCTTTCACGTTGATGTTTCTCTCCCCCACCCCCACTCTATCTGAACAAAAAATGGAAAAAGTGTCCTCGGGTGAGGATAAAAAAAAATGTTTTATCAGTACCTTACACACTAAACTACAGAGCTAAAATTATGCAAAGGACTGCAAAACAGCACAAACTGCCTTAGAAATCTGGAATCTACCATGCAGATTGTTGCATTTTAATAAGGTGACTGGGAGACTGGAGCTTGGGTCCACACAGATGCGGAGTTAGGTCGCAGATTCGTTTCTGGAAATGCTTGCAGAGCCGCTACCTACAGCGGGGAGGAGGAGGAGTGAAGCTCCCGCTTATTTCCCTGCACAAGGCCTTTCCTTACAACGGACGGAGGCCGGACAGGCCGCGCGTGGTCACGCTGCGCGCGGGGAGCCGGCTGCCCGTCCGCGTCGGGACCGCGCTCCCGGGGCCTGCTCCTCCGCATTTCGTTCTGGGGTCATTCCCCCCAGCACACGGGGCCGGGCGCCCCTCCTCGTCCGCCCTGGACCCCACCGCGGTTCGTGCAGTAAACAGGCATCCTCACCAGAGGTGGGACCAAGGCGAGGGAGAAGGCCGGACGGGCCTTCGTGGGCCTGCTCCCAAGCTCCCGCCTCCCTCGCAGCGGTCACTCGGGGACAGAGGCGAGGTCCGGCTGGGTCAAGCCAGGACGCGGCGGGTCGCGTCCGGACGGGCGCCTGCCGAGACCGGCGGGACGGAAGGGGCTGGCGGAGGGACAAGAAGGCGGGGCGCTGGCGGGGGGCGGGGCGAGCGAGGGCCTCCCGGCATGCCGCGCGGCACTCGGCTTCCGCCGGTGGGCGGTGCGGGAGGCGGCGGCCGGAAGTGGGCTAAGCCGGCCTCTCGGCGCGCTGCCTGCACTTCCGGGGCCTCGAGCCGGGCTCTAGGCTTCCTGTAGGCGGCGCGGGAGGAACAATTGGTTTGAGGGGCCGGGCCGGGCGGATCCCCTCCTCCCCCAATGTGAGCGGAGTCCCGAACCCCCGTCAGGCGAAGGCTGCCTAGGGAGGTGGAAACGGTGGCCCGGGAACATGAGGCAGTGTCTCCTCTTCCTGACCAGCCTGGTTCCTCTCGTGCTGGCGCCGCGACCTCCGGACGAGCCGGGCTCCGGCTCCCCCCAGCGACTCGGTAAAGACCCGGGGAGTTGCCTTAGGCCGGCGCCGGCGCCTGCAGCGCGCTGCTGTCGGGGAAGAGCCGGGGAGCCGGAGCAGGTGTTTGGGGGCGGGGTGCCGGGCGCCGCGGCGCTCGCGAAGTTGTCGGTGTGTGAAGGGGGTGTGGCTCGGGTTCCGGGAAGAGCGGAGGCGGCTGGTCTCGAATGGGAAAGGGCGAGGAGCGGCCTCCGGTGGCCGAGGGCCGGGAGGGGTCTGCCCCCGGGGTTGCGCCTGGGCGCCTGTTGGGAAAGAGTAAGGGGTGGGGGGCTGCCTCGTGTCCGGAGAGGGCGCTGAGGTCCGGGCCCCGCCCGGCTCGGGGGGCCCCTGCAGGGGTGCGAGGGCTCGGGGAGGTGGGCGCGGCTGCGCAGCCCCCGGGACCCTCGTAAGCGGTACCTAGTTAAGTGGTGACGTGCGGAGGCGCCGGGGTGGCGAGCGCCCGAGCCGCCGGCCCGCTCGCGAGGCTGCTCCTGCGAAACAGGCGCTCAGGGCCGGGCGGCCGCTCTGATCACCTGTGAGCCTGGGGAGTAGCGAGTTTGTATTGAGATTTTCCGCAGAGCTTGGGTTGGAAGGACGGAGGTACAGCCAGAGTCACGTTCGCTGGGAGCGCGTCGTGTCCACTCGTGCCGCCCGGGCGCTCGGCTCCAGCCGGCGGGGGGGCGGGGAGGCGGGGGGACCGGCTGGCCCACGAGCCGTGGGGGTGGGAGGTGTGCCCCGGGCGCGCCGTGGGGCCTCAGTGCGTTTTCGTGGCTGTGTTGATCTCCACGTTCCATCAGGATTGGACACACGTCGTTGTGTAGATGTGGACCCCGTGTCAGAGTTCTTCAGGGCTGATCAGACATTTCGCAGCAGCTTACCTGGCAGTTCTTTTTTCCTAACGGACAGAGATTGCCATTGACGGCGGGTGTTAAGGCTGCCGAGTGTTCTCCCCTGAACAGCTGCAGGGCGGTTGGCTCAAATGGGAATGGGTTGCACAGGCGACCGTTTAGTGAAAGGCAAGGAGCTTGTTAGGGGTGCTGAGCTGTGGTGAGTCGTTCCAGGCTGGAGCAAGTGTTTGAGGTGGGGGTGGTCAGGGTGAGGGGGAGGGTTGGGATAAGGACCCATTGTATAGGGCTTATTGTTAAAAGAATAAACATATGTTTTGAAATATTAAAATTTTCACCACTCTGACACAAGTTTCACTTTTTTTAATCCTCACCCGAGGACACTTTTTCATTTTTTGTTCAGATAGAGTGGGAGGGGGAGAGAGGAAGAGAGAGAGAAACATCGATGTGAAAGGGACACATCGAGTGACTGCCAACCACATGACCCCAACCAGGGCCGGGGACAAACCGCAACCGAGGTACATGCCCTTAGCGGGAACCGAACCCGGGTCTCTCTGGACCGCAGGCCGACGCTCTAACTGCTGAGCCAAACCAGCCAGGGCCAGCTGTTTCACTTTTATTATTCGGTTGTTCACAGGTGGAAAAATAAGGCACCTGAATCCTAGGGTTGCATATAGTATAGAGGAAAACCTTGCTTTCTAGATCAGTTATCATTGACATTCAGAGACCATAAGGGTTTTTTTTGGCCACGTGTTTTTTATTTGCAACATGCAGAATGCTGGTGCCAGAAACATGCTTGGATTTACCCATTTATTCACCAGACGTTTGAAGAATATATACTGGATGCAAGTATTATGTGTGGCTTTGGAAGTACCAAGATCCAACATCATCCATCTTCAATCCACTTTTGGCATACATAGTGGAATAGGGAGCTCTAAACAGACCTTCTAAAACAGCCCGAGAGTACTAGAGCACAGTCTGGCAGGTGTATCATCTCGCAGGGAAACCGAACCTGGCCTGGAAAGGTTAGGCAGAGCTCCCTGAAGGAGGTGACATTGGAGCCCAGATTTTAAGGTTAGGTAGATGAAGAGGGAAAATAAGGACACTCCTGATGGGGGTGCTTACAGATTGTTGAATTAACATTAGGGATTGTATCTAGTTTTTGAAATAAAGCAGCAGGAAAATGAGTCTCAGTTATAGTGAGTTGTCAGGTTCACACAGTTTGTGATAACTATATGTCTTGTATGGTTTTTTTTTTAAGAGAATTGATTTTTTGTGTGTTTGATAGGTCAGGATATAATTTGTTGCTTAACTCTACCATTATTTAGGTAGAATTAGTCAAGACTAATGAGTAGTTTCATAGTTAAAGAGCATGGTTTATTGTTTATTAGCTTAGTTATCCTATAAATGTTACTGTAACTGCAGTTCTAAATATTGATTAGGGATCTGAATCCTGATTTTTGGAGGGCTCCATAGGTCACTCAAAATGATTTCAATTGAACTGTTACGAATTGCATAATTTAGGAAAGTTATGAGTCATGTGAGCTTAGTCATGATATCTTGTTGAAGTTGCAGCTGGGGTGTATATGTCTCATTTTTATTTCAAAAGTGGTTTCTCTTTGTGTTCCTTTTAATCAAAAGAGGATGTAGTGGGTGGAAAGAAAAAAAATGTAGGTCACAAATGAAAGATGAAAGCTGTTTCTGAAACATATATTTAGAAATTTACCTTGATGTTTTTGGTGTGGGGGATTCTCCACATTGCATTGCTCATTTCTCATTATTGATGGCACCATTTTGCTCAGTATTTTGACATCTGGCTTTCTCTTTTGATGTTAATTCTGCTTACAGGCTGCATTCTTTTTTTTTTAATATTCAAATATTCATTTTAGGAGCCATTCCGTAGTGCCATCCAGAGCAACGCACTGCAGCAGCTCCTCTGAGCCTTTCCAACAAATTTGTTCAAGATTGGCTGTCACGAATCACAGACTGTTATTATATCAGGCTGCATTTTGAAAGCCAAACATATAACCACCGTAACTGTTCCAAGGGAGATTTAAAGTAACTCTGCTTTGTAGTAGTCAGAGATGAACTGTTTTTCTGTAATAGAATGAACAGAAGAGTTTAGCAGAGAGCCATGGTGGGGAAATGAGAAATCCTTTTGGCCTTTACCAGATTTTCCAGACCATTAAGTGTAGGTGTCCTTCAAGGCCAAGTGTGGTTGATTTTTGAATTATTCACCATTTTGTATTTGAGAGAGGCTGAATGTTTTTAATGGGAAGTATAATTTGAGGAAAGTATGAAAAAGGGGCAGGGAAGGCTTCGCTGAGGTATGGTTGGGAGTGAAATGAAGTGCTTTTTCATGTAGCCACCTTAGTTCTTAGTACTGAAACTGACCTAAGACATGGGTATCTTCCTCCCCACATCTCTCTCTCTTTTTAAAAAAAATTTCCTTTAAACATGAGTTTAGGCTTTGACAAGTCTCATCTGCTGCCTTGGCTTCACTTACCATGTAACTACATATTGTGATAACTACTTTCTCCAACAAAGACTTGTTCTCTGAAGTTTTACACTCATTTATCCGCCAGTCCAGTGATGATTCCACCTTGGTGTTCACAGGCACTTAAAATATAACATCGAAAATTACTTCTTTGTCCCAAGGAGGGATTCACCCACACCTATGGCTCATTGTACAGTAACCTGGCCAGGCCACCCTTTTATCCTGCATGTTTTGGGGAGTACTGAAGAGCAGTCAGGTTCATGTGTCTTCTGCACAAGCAGACCTGGCTTTATCTTTCCCACTTCTGACACCAGAAGTAGCAGCATGACACTGCTAGTATCATTTTGGGGGAATGCTTTGTACTCCACGCAGCAGAGCAGTGGAGAGCAAGCAGAGTGCTATAGGGGTTCTGCATTACACTTGCAAATTGTATTGCAGGAAGTGCAATTTACTGCAAAAAGAAAAGAGAAATTAATTAAAAAGTCCACTAATGTTCCCAGACTCTTCTCATTCAGCATTTCATCATTTAAAAGTCAGTTTCATCTTAAAAATGTGGACTCTGGGTTTGATGAAAGAACTATGGGTATACTTTATGTCATTGTACCAAAGTCAATGGCCATAAAAGCTTATCCCAGAAATGAAACAATTTAGGCATACGAGAATGGTGGAGTGGAAGGTTTATCAGATCTTTTATAGGCCACTCCACATCCACATCTACATTCAGAAAGTTCGCGTATTTATTGCAGGCCTGAGGGTCTAGCTTTCACTTTATTCTTGGAGAACATGTAGGAGGAACAAAGTATCAGTTGTTGTCTACCACTGATGTCAATATTGAACGTCATACAATAACAAATTTGTTCTCTCCCCACCTAAAATCACTATAACTTATCAGTGACATAATTGCAAACATATGATGACCTAATGCAAAAAAGTTCGGTGTAAATGAACAGTGTCATTGCAAACTATACTCCAGAACCTTTTGGTGTCCAGCAATCCTTTCATATAAACCCCTCGTCCATACCTGCCCCTTTCCTTTTTTTTTAAATCTCAGTAGATGTGGTGCTACAATGTTCCCAGGTACCCAAGCCAGAAACCTGGGGGTCTTTTCATGATCTTGACCTAGATTGCTCAGCAGTTTACTAGCCTATTCCCCAGACTCGTCTGTTCCCCTCTAGCCTACTTGCTGCACTGCAGTCACAATGAAATTTTCTAACTTACAGCTGTTACCCTTATCCAAAGACCAAAATCCTTACTTTAGTTCCATGGCCCTTCATGACCAGAGCTCTGCCTGCCTCTCCAGTCTTGTACCTCTGCACATCCTCTCTGTAGGTCTGTACTCCAGTGTGAGTCTGTACCTCTGCACGTCCTCTCTGTGGATCTGTACTCCAGTGTGAGTCTGTACCTCTGCACGTCCTCTCTGTGGGTCTGTACTCCAGTGTGAGTCTGTACCTCTGCACGTCCTCTCTGGGGGTCTGTACTCCAGTGTGAGTCTGTACCTCTGCACGTCCTCTCTGTGGGTCTGTACTCCAGTGTGAGTCTGTACCTCTGCACGTCCTCTCTGTGGGTCTGTACTCCAGTGTGAGTCTGTACCTCTGCACGTCCTCTCTGTGGGTCTGTACTCCAGTGTGAGTCTGTACCTCTGCACGTCCTCTCTGTGGG